CCAACCAACCCACCACCACCACAATCAGGGTTCGAACCCAGGACCTTCTGGTTACAAGGCGAGCTAGCTCGTAGACCATTCAGTCAGCCAGTCCATGAATTCCAACTTCTAACAATTCACGCACGCACGACATAACCAATGTCCCTAAACTATGTCAGCTCATAATGAAATCCTGTAACAAATCAATCAAATCCCTAAAAACCAATACTTGAACAGCAAAAAATACTGCTGTCACAGAGTAAATTATCTTTACTGGTTGTTTATATTGTAAAGCAAATTAAAACAACCTCCTCCCCTCTCCACAGCGTAAATTTAAGCTTCATTCCCTTCTCCTCTTATCCTATATTCCCAATCTCACCTATTATAATCAGAAGGATTGGTTATGTGTAAAAACCAAACAAAAACTACACTACACTACACTGTACTGCTACTGTCGTGTCGGTATAAATTTATCACTATTTCTGTGTAGAACATACATATGTCGGCTTATGTCTGTTTTTTTTGGGGTGGTGGGGTGTTTCACAGTTTTCCTTCTCTCTTGTCTTAAAAAAGAAGGATTTATCTCAGAATATTTCATGATTAACAATTTTAATTAAAATATGTTAAGGGGATAGACACACATAGACAGGTAGGCGATGCATACATTTCCTGTATGATTACCATGTTTTCCTCATGACACTAATTTCAATGATCTCTGCACACTACTCTGTAGTTTGATTGGACACTAGTTAATAACTAGTGTAATTGTATGTGTGTGTGTCTAGTCCTTTGTTAAGTCGGTGGAGACTGAATTCTATCAGTCAGTCAGGTTTGCAATGTGGCCACACCATGCCACAACACTAGGTGATTGGACATCACGGTGCGCCTTGAATTGTTGAAGGTCAGCTGGATGCACCTGCATACCTGCATTCCCCAGTAAGTGAGTGAGTGAGTGAGTGATGGTGTTCCCTCCACTGAGGCTCGAATCCAGTGCCCATAGTCTCAAACACCAAAGCTGGTTATCCACTAGCCCCCAAGTGGTCTTGTTGACAATGCTTTGGCGTTTGAAACTATGGCCACTGGGTTCCAGCCTTGACTGTGGGAACATCATCACTCAGTGGGGAATGCAGGTACATCCACTGGCTGATGAGCCAGTCCCAGATAGGACGGAATGCGCTTTATCCTGGATTCCACTACTTCTAGTCACCATCCACCAATTGACTTCAAGTTACATGACCAGACATCGTCGAAGCATCTGCATAAGAAGCCGACATGTCAACCTGAAATCGAGCACGTCGGGCCAATCAGTCGCAAGGGGAAATTTAAAATTGTATTAAATAATTATCTGTAATGTTGAATAGTTGTTGCCGCCATACAAAAGCTGGTACAGCCAAGGGTGGGTAAACTTCACGCCTTCCTCTCGAAATGCTCTCATGTTGCCATACATTCATAGCCTCTCCCATGTAAGTCTTACTTACTCATTACCTTCATGCAATGGCATGGGTGAATTGGAATGTCTGGCGATAACAACCAGACTAGTAGTGAACATCCAGGTCTACCCCTAGGCGGGGGGGGGTTAGAAAACCCTCATTCCAAACCTACAACTCCAAAATCCAAACGGATCGAAAGGTGCATGAATCTGTTTTCGTCACCAGAAACCATGGGAACGTGATTCCTGACACTCCTCCACTGCCTTGTAAATCAAACTTCAAGTCATAGGCTTATCGGGAGTGGCCCCCCTGAAGACAACCACCTGCTTTGGGATCTAGGAGTATCCGGGAGAGTATCCAATCTGTCGCACAAACTATAAGATTTTGTGTAACGCATCTATTGGTGGTCATTATGTACCGAGTTTGTTTGATTGTTTGTTTTTTGTTGTAATTTTTTTATTTAGAACAACACATTTAAGCGAACAATATTGTTTTCAATTAGATCTCATCAGGCTTAACTCTAATATATTTAAGTTAACAAATAAAAATTCATGGTGTTTTGTCTATACGATGGTGAATATAAATTTTGCAATTAGTCATAATAGTAGTAATGATAATAACAATAATAGTAATAATAAAAATGGTCTTATCAATCAATAATAAGGATGAAAAAGTGAGGCAATCTGTGATAACACGAATAATGAAAAACAGCATGATTAAACAAACAACCGTTCAGGTGGAACTAGTAGTCGATAAAGGCTAGTAAAAACAAATGAACCGATTAAGTAATGCTAGATTGTAAGGGAAGGAAATGAAACACGTTTATAATGAAGATAAGATTAAGGGATGATAAGAAAGGGGTTGAAAATATAAACAAAGGGTGGTGTAGAAGTCATTAGTTGGTTATGTCTTAATAGGCCAAGAAGGGAGGGATAATGACTGTACGAACTTTTTTGAATGCATAGTTTAGGTTTAATAGTTCGAATGCCTATCGCCTCAGCTGTGTGCAGTAAACGAATACGAACTCTATTGGAAATATTAGGTGGGATACGATGAATTACTTTGATGAAGGCTCTCGTTTTCTCCACTACATGACCACTATCAATTAAATGTGACAAAATTGAGCTACGAATTGTTTTTGTCTGTCCTTTGCCAAACCACGATGGGAGGTGTTCACTAACACGTTGGCTAAGCTGTCTAGTAGTACACTTATCCTATAGACAAAACACCATGATTGGTTTATATTTGAATTTTTACTTGTTAACTTATATATGTTAGAGTTAAGCCTGATGAGATCTAATTGAAAACACAATATTGTTCGCTTAAATGTGTTGTTCTAAATTTTACTATGGGAATATTTAGTATTTTTTATTATTTACTCGGCTTAAAACATTCTGACATACAGTGATAAGATTTGGGATTAGGTAAATGCAACTGACAACTCTTCGTTTATTTTTGATGAATATTAAATCTGACTACTTATAAGGATATATACACATTAATAATTCAACTATAATGCCTAATTACATATATATATATATATATATATATATATATATATGCAAATAAAAAAACAACCATAGAAGGTACGTATTAATTAATGTTGAGTTGACACAAATAGGAGAGTGAAAAGTGTATAGATAATTCAGCTAGCTATCTACCCCATCAGAGAATTTTTAGTAATCATAAAAATGAATGATGATTGCATCGTATTTCCCTTGAAAACTAGATTTTGCATTTCACTAATCCTCATATAATTAATTGTTCATGGGAGGGAGAAGAAAGCGATAAGGATAACTGAAATTTTCCAAAGGGAATAAGTGTCTTCATCAATAACTGTTACCTTCCTCTTCGTCAAGCTCTACAGTCAATGATTAATCCATGATTTTCAAGTATTGGTTTGTAGGGATTTGGTTGATTGGTTACAGGATTTCATTATGTGCTGGCATCGGTTAGAGAACCATTGGAAAAGCAACTGGGAGTACTGGACAGCTGTTCCGTCCTAGTTTGGGACTCTTCATCAGTACGCACCCACCGGGGTTGTAAACCGGCCACCGGATCGGGTCCCAGTGGTTGGCTGAATGGTCTACGAGCTCGCCTTGTAACCAGAAGGTCCTGGGTTCGAACCCTGGTGGTGGGTGCGTACCGATGAAGAGTCCCAAACTGGGCTGACAAAACAGTTGTCCAGTACTCCCAGTTAGTTTTCCAATGGTTATCTAACAAATGTCAGTTCATGATGAGATCCTGTAACTAATCCATGATTATTAGAACAACATGCTCATCTTTGGTGCAGTTAAAAGTCAACAGATACCCACCTCTCTCATGTTAACAACTCCAACTGTGTAAACAAATTTTTACGTGTATCTAGGGGGGGGGGACAGTTACATTGGGAGAACAGAGAGAAGAAGGGCATACCTCTGATTTTCTGAACATTTGCCGAAAAGCCTACGTCTCAAGGGAACAAACTCTTATAATAGCGCTATTACCAGACATAGCCTCGATACGGGTCATGATGAGGTAGGTGGAAATCGCGAAATCCTTTAAAATTATCAATAGACAAACGAGATCGATTCTCCTCAAATTGGCCGAAGGAATCTCTATCAAACGCTTGAAACAAACCAGATTTATGTGTTCAGAAAGAGGCAGTTATTAGTCTTTCCTTGCCCTGCCAGGTAACTGGATGTCTTTATTCCTTCTTTCGTTTGATTACGTAATCTTTGGCTTTAACCTCACCCCGTTGACATGGTGTAATTTTGCTTGTCTCTTGTCTCTATGATTTGAGTTCAAATTCAGTACATTGTTACACAATTTATTAGTCACTCAGCATTTTACGCATCTAATTGATATAAGTATAAAACTTGGGCATTGTGGTCGAGTATAACTCCATTTTGATAAATCACACAGTGTTAGGGTGATGACTCACGCCTCTGCGAGAACTGGCGTGGAATAATGCTCCTGTCCACGCCAAGTAAAATACTAAGTCGCATCATCCTGGAAAGAGTAGAGTAAAGGATGCACTGGGTACAGAACTGCGCTCACCGGAACAAGCTGGATTCAGGAAAGGCAAATCATGTGCTGATCAAATTGCAAATCTACTCATCGTTATCAAACAAGGCATAGAATGGCAGTGAAACCAGACTTCTATCAACAGCTGTCTTTGCTGGCTCCATTCTGAAGATCAAATAGCAGGCTGTCCAGAAAGAATTAGCAAAAAAAACCGATTGGAACACAATAATCAAGAGCCTATCGTTCATTATATATTTAGGAGAAAATGGAGATGGATTAGACAGACGCCTCCACTGAGGAGACCGTCGAATAACATCACGCGCAGTGCAGGCGATCGTTAGAGTGAAACCCTAATAGGAAACGAGCGGCGAGTGGGTCGTCAGTGAGAGGGTGACAAGGAGGAGATGAGAGATTATGGGCAGTTGTGGGCACAGCCAGCTGAAGAGGACAGCAGAGAATAGAACAAATTGGATGTGTGTGTGTGTGTGCGTTGAAGCCCCATGTTCCACTTGGAACCCAAGGGAACAATAATATAATATAATACTGTATATATATAATAAATAAGTTATTGTCAGTTTAACTTACGCTCCAGTTAATAATTCAAATGTTAAAATACCCAATGACCAATAGTCTGCAGCAAAATCATGTCCTTGATTAAGAATAACTTCTGGTGCAACATATTCTGGTGTACCACAGAAAGTCCATGTTTTTTGACCAATTCCAATATATTTTGCAAATCCAAAATCACACTAAAAATGCATAAAAGAAAAAGGTAATTAAGTAAGTAACTTAATAAGAGTCGACAATAGGATGAAAATTCAGAACATGTGTGTAATGTGTGTATATTCATCATTCCTGTTCATGATGGATCATCTTTCCTTCCACTGGAAAGTTGAGTCTAATTCAGTTGTTGGAAAGAAACTGCTCTAAGTGCTAATTGGATGAAATAATCACAAAAGTGGGCGGATGGATGTACAGTTTACTCTCTCTCCCTCTCTCTCTGCGTTCTTCATTTCTTTGCATCTCGAGGGGGAGATTGCGAGCCTCACACTTACCGGGTTTACGACCACCGGCTAGGTGAGGTTTATGGCTGCATTGGTTGAGAAACGAATTAGGAGTAGAATAGAGAAGATTTGTAGCTCAGATGGATGATTTGCAATTAGTAGTGCTCTCTGAGCTGGTTGGTTGGTTGGTTTAATTGCGGAGCTTTCGTCGTCCTCCCCCTTCTGGACAACATCCCCCTTCAGCGCAATTTTTAGCATAAAGTGAGCTGATTTAAATTTTCCAGGGAATTCCTAGAATATTCAAGTATTGATTTGTAGGGATTTGGTTGATTGGTTACAGGATTTCATCATGAGCTGACATTGGTTAGAGAACCAATGGAACGTCTGGGAGTACTGGACAGCTGTTTCGTCCTAGTTTGGGACTCTTCATCAGTACGCACCCACCGGGGGGTTCCAGTGGGAAATCGTGACCAGTAGGGTACAGCAAGTCGGGTATGAGGACAAATACTCGCCAGCGATGACATTGGCTAGCGGTTGCGCTATATCGTGAATTGGCAGAAGTTAGCATTCATGGGCCATTAGATCAGGTCCCAGTGGCTTAATGGTCTACGAGCTAGCTCGCCTTGTAACCAGAAGGTCTTTGGTTAGAACCCCGGCGGGTGCGTACTGTCGAAGAGTCGCAAACTAGGACGAAGCAGCTGTCCAGTACTCTCAGTTTTTCCAATGGTTCTCTAACCAATGTCAGCTCATGATGAAATCCTGTAACGAATTCCTAGAAGCCTGGTACTCAAACGAATATGCGATTAACAAACATGTTAATATAGACCAAATCTACCAACTAATAAAAAGTAAATCACATGTGACGAGAAAGTTTCAAATCCAAGTCAATAACAAAAATGATCAATACATATGTAAAGATGGTTACCGGGAGACGCAATTATATCACTCATAGAAAACTTAAATCAGTTCACTTTATACTAAAAATTGCGCTGAAGGGGGATGTTGTCCAGAAGGGGGACGATGAAAGCTCCGCAATTAAACCAACCACAGCTCCTCAGAGAACACTATTAATTGCGAATCAGGAGTATGTTCATGGTAAGTGAGCATTATTCTAGCATTGAACCATCGACCAAGACAGTTTTAATTCTAGAATACTTTAATATATCCTCCTCGTATGATCAACCATGATACACAGAGCTTGTAAAAGTAAGTCCATTCTCTATCTTACTGAGAAAGGTCATACGGCGATTGCCTTATCAGTCAAGTTTTCAATGTCTCACCAGTCATAAAGAAAGACGGAGCAAATTGACTGCTGAACAGTATACACGTCCTCCGGTCGACAACCGGATATCATGTCTACTAAGCCAGAGATGGCATGGCATGAGATGGCAGGCAAATGCCGAACAAGTCAATCAGATCAACCGTCTGGCGCGGGCTGATACAACTTCCCAAATAAGTGAATTGGTCAACACGCTCCACCAACCATTGCATTCCTTATCTTTAAGCTAGGAGCAGGTCGATGTAGTCGAGTCCAGTTCTGTAGCCTCATCATCCTCCATTTGATGCGAGCGAATCGCATACCAAACATTCACAGGTTCCTGCTCTTCAAGGTGTTCAGAAGACTCTGCTGTATTTTGTCAGCGTTTTCACCTAGGAGGGAGGACTATATCATCGACATATTCCAAGTCAACAAGAATAGTAATCCCTGGTGGTGGTAACAAGTTAATCCTTGAGTCATTGAAGTCAGTTAGGATTAAGTCCATTTGCACATACATCTATGATGAAATTAAACCGAAATGCGGACATTCAGCTGGCATCCCTGACACGGACACCACTGTCTGTCACCACTTCAGATGAGCCTCTCATCTGGCTTGGCAGACTGTATGAGTCCCGAGTAGATCAGTGCCTTAATCACTGGGTGATTTATTTTGAGAACGATTTTCAGCCATATCACCAATTGTCTCCAGCCGCCGCCGTTGGTTCTCACCATCTCGAAGACTCCAACTAGGAAGTCCACACCTCTCGACGTGGGTGTTGTGAATTTATTTCATTGACTGATGAAACCATGTTTTGGAATGACCACCACCACTAGCTCACTCTTTTCCAACCTGGTCCATCCTTTGTCGGCTGCTAACACTGCCCTTCGATCGAGGAAGGCAATAGCTAGACTAGACTTGCACAACAACACATGTCCTAACCATCTCTTTCAATCCATGTAACTTCACTACACAACCTCATCGATTGATTTTCCCTCCAAATGACCCAACACTCGACCGAAGCCTAACCTCAATATTGCTCACCCTATTATATACCACTTAACACGGGAGATAGAACGCAGACAGATACCTATGATCAAAGAGAGCTAACCTTTTCATATCTTCAACTTCCAATGGGGGACATGCCTCACAGCTATAGAGGAGGACAGAGCGAACTGCTGCAGAGCAGTACACACGCCCTTTAGTCGACAGCTTGCAGGATATCACACCTACAAAGCCAGAGATGGCGTAAGTTGGCAAATGGTAAACGAGCCTTCTGTATCTTTACTGAGATTTCGTCAGCGATCAACCCGTTCGTGCTGGCCGATTCATGGCTGATAATGAAGTGGTCAACACGCTCAGCCACCACACTTCACTCAATAGCTTTAAGCTAGGAGTCAATGTAATCCAGTCCTGTAGCATCATTTTACGTTTTACGTTTGGCAAATCGAGTGCCAAACATTCGAAGATTGCTCAAGGTGTTCAGGTGTTCAGGAAACTCAACCGCATTTTGTCAGCAACTTCACCTAGGAGAGAGGACTATATCATCGGCATATTCGAAGTCAACAAGACTACTATTCCCTGTGGTGGTGGTACCAAGTCAATCCCTGGGTCAATTAGTGTTAACTCCAGTAGCACAGATATGGGGAAAGTCAGCTAGTATCCCTGACACGGACACACCATTATTTGTCCTCCCTTCAGATAAGACAACTCTCCGTAGGCTCTCTCACCCGGCTAGCTGACTGCATGAGTCCCAAGTAGATCAGTGCCTTAATCACTGGGCGATATATTTTCTCAGCATTCCCTTCACAGTCAAACATCATCATCACCACTCAAAGATTACGGTCGGTTGGTCGGTCGGTTTTTGACATAGAACTTTGCACATATGTGCGGCAGTTCAAGTCGCCACACTCCATGTACCACACAAAGCAAGAGAAGAAAGTAGAAGAAATGCATAATAGAGACAGTAAACAGAGGTGTGAGACAAAGGAATAGTAATAACGGAGAACAAAACAGTTTAATTGGAAATCATAAGTCACAAGGAGTGGATGCATCTGCGCCAGCCATTGAGAACGATTTTGAGCCATGTCACCAATTGTTTCCAACCATTGGTTTTTACCGTCCCGAGGACCCCAACTAGTCAGGAAGTCTACACCTTCCTACGTGGCTTAGACTAACTGTTGTGGATTTCACTGACTGGTGCCATGTTTTGGTTTGACCGCCGCTAGCTCTTTTCCAGCCTGGCCCTATATCAGCTAACATTGCCCATTATTGAGGAAGGCGATGACTAGGCATACGTAACACATGTCCTAACCATCTCAGTCAATGTAATTTCACAGTTTCGTCGATTGATTTCCCCGCCTTACCTAGCACTCTACCAATGCAACTCCTCTACTTGATGGCTCTTCACTTCCTCTTCACTCTGTGTGCACTGATAACGATGGAAGCCAAAAAGCCACCATCGATAGTCTCCTAAAGCCACGCCACTCAAAGATTACACAAAACAACATACTTAAGAGTGACAAATAGTCAAAAAAATCTAGTTCCAGGACTTTGTTCTTTACAATATTTTTCTAACCATCAAACATAATGAAAATAATAATTTTTCCACTTTCCTACAATTACCATCAATAAATACCATGAAAATATCCTCATCATTATGTATGATTAATATTTTTAAGTGTTATATATATATTAGTAGTCCAAAATTTATGTTTATTTATATTTTCCTTTCATTGCCTAATGTTGATTGATGCTGAGGATGCTGATACTGATGAGGCTGATGAGGATAATGATGATGATAATATAACCTGTCAGTAATCATTTGATGATATAGGGGATTGGGGGGGGGGAATTAGCATTAGTAAAAAGTTGGTAATTTTATCATGAAAATAAATGAATCAACATAACTTGAAAAAGATAATTACACAGTAACTGACAGAGATACATCTCTATTCTTGCCTAATCGATAAGTAGATTAACACTAGTATATGAGTTAATTATATGTATATATCGGATGTATCTTTTCAAGTGTTACTGTGTAGGGGGGGTGGGGGGTGATTAATTTCAACATCAAGCGAAAATGTCCATACCGTTTTCCAAACTTGCCATTTAATATGCTTGTCTATAAAACGGGGTGGGTAGCCATTCTCGAGCAGGCAAGTTTGGAAAACGGTCCGCTGAAAGCAACCATCGACAAATTCTTCTTATACAAAAGGTATGTTGATGATACTTTCGTCATCTGCGATAACAATTGTGATCAAAATATTGTACTTCAAGTTTTCAATAGTTGCCACCCCGCGATCAAATTCACAATCGAAGTAGAAACCAAAGAGACAATCTCCTTTCTGGACGTTCGTTTAAGTAAGAAGACCGATGGTACCTTGAACAGATAAGTACACAGAAAACCTACATGGAACGGTCAGTTGACAAACTTCTACAGTTGGGTACCAATTAGTCGCAAGCTAAATTTGATAATATCTCTGGCGA